TTCTACCACTGATGATGTTACCTATGGTAGTTGGGTCATGAAACATCTGCAAGAAAACAACCAAGCTCAGAGAGCACCAAGGAGCCTTCACTTCAACCCTGAGCTACATAAATTCTCCTCTACTGGTATCCAAAGCGGTGTGTGTGTTGCAGCTGTGATTTTGCGCAACTGTTTACCCCTTCAGGGTTCGAGGAAGGGACGAAATAAGGGTGGGGCTCTCAGGAATGACAAGAGGCTGTCCAACCTACATCTCTACCCGGCGAGCGAAAACAAATTAAATAATGCAGTTCTTAGTGAATCACGGGGGGGGGGGGGTGTCATGAATTGAATCCCGCTTTTCCAATGAGTTTCCTTGTTGGATGCCAGCTGGAGAGATCGTAAGCGGCCATATTGTGACCCCAGTTGTCCTAAACACAAAGGAATAAGTTTCCTTTCTTTTTATTGGACCGTGGGGAAGCTGCAAGCGTTGTAACTGTGAGGAACACCTGCAGGTGAACTTACCCCCAGATCTTGCCGTATTTCTCAAAGCAGGTTTGGTCGAACTTCAAAATACCCTGTCAAATTAAAAGAAGGAGATCCATGAAAACTTGGCCATGCAATCCTTTCTCCAACAAAGCCATTAAAGGTGCCTCAATCCGTAGATCTTGACTCTCTATTGATGTGATGCTTAACGGTTAAACCGAAACAGGGACAAGATATTCAGAAGGAAGACCAAGGGATTCTAAGGAAGGCAGATGGCTTTGGAGGTAGTCCTCAACTTACAACTGAAGGTCCTTAGCTAAGGACTATCTGTACTAGTAGCCTTTATTCTCCCAAATCTTCTTTTGGGGATGCACAAATCATCATCCTCGTCTTATAATGACTCCATAATCCCTTGTGGGGTGGAGTCTGAGCAATTGAATGGAGCTAAGTCTTTACTGGCCCGATGCCCTTCCTGTTGCCAATGAGGAGTTTTGTTCAGCAGATTCATTCTCATTGTGCCCAGAGAGAGAAATATCTCCCTCTACCTCCTGAGTCTCTCGGGAATAGGGCGGCATACCAACCAAATAAAATCTAAATAAATAAATCTAGATCTAGAATTGAACTCACAGCCTCCTGATTGTGAGGCGAGAGCCCTACCTCTTGGCCACTGCCCCACTCCTGACACAAGCCACAGTTTAGGAAAGGAATGATTCCTTTTCATCCAACCTCGTTGGGTTTCCCTTCAAGCTACTAGGATACGAAACAGTACAACACACTCACATGCCGGTATTTATGGAAAGTTCCGATAAAAGGCAGGGGTCTTGGCCCAGGAATTCCCAACTTCTTAAAGAAATTATATGGCCAGATCCCATAACTGGAAAACAAAACAAAAGAAGATTAGCAGGATAATCCGGAGGACAAGAAGCAATGGGTGGAAACTAATCAANATCTATCTATCTATCTATCTATCTATCTATCTATCTATCTATCTATCTATCTATCTATCTATCTATCTATCTATCTCATCTTCTCTATCTCTGTCTGATAGACAGACAGATATCTACTACTATTCTGGAATTCAAGACGGAATTCAAGAGATCTCCAATCTCTTCCACAGCCATTATATGAATTTCAGTTGAGAGAGAGCGACTGGCCCAAAGTCACCCGGGAGGCTTCCAGGATTGAGGGAGACCTTGGACCCAGGTCTCCCCAGGCCCATCCCAACACCTAAACCACAATACGTGGCTTGGTCTCCCACGTTCCCTTCCAGGCCTTCCATTTCTCAGCCCCGGTGAAGTTCTCACAACCTCCAGTTGGGATACCTACCCGGCGATTGGTGAAATAAGTATAGAATTCTTTGACCAGGATGGTTTTAATGAGGGCGGGATCCAAAATGCCCATCACAGGTTGCCGGCCATCAAATATTCTAATTGTCAAAATGAAAAAGGTGTTTTGAAATGTAGGCTTTATCTTTATAAGAAGACAGGATTCAAGGCTTCCTATTTTCCTGCTGAACAATTGGGCAAGCAGAGAACATTGTCCTGATGTTCATTTCTCCACTCAAGGGGGATGTGCGGGGTTCCTTGGTGCTCTCTGAGCTCGCAAGTTTTCTTGCAGAAATTTCATGACTTAGTTAGGTAACATCATCAATCCCAGCTGCAACACACACAGATCCCTTTGGATACCAATAAAGGGGGATATCTGTAGCTCAGTGTTGAAGTGAAGGGTCCTTGGTGCTCTCTGAGCTTGGTGGCTTTTCTGCAGATGTTGCATTACCCAAGGTTTCCTGCCTAGGAAGGGGGTTGGACTAGAAGACCTCCAAGGTCCCTTCCTACTCTGCTATTGTATTGTATTAACTGTGGGGTCCTTGGTGCTCTCTGAGCATGGTGGCTTTTCTGCAGACGTTGCATTACCCAACTATGGATCATCATCAGGAGCATTGATGATGTTACNTCGAACTGCCAAATTGCAGGCAGCTGGCAGTCAGCAGAAGTAGCCTGCAGTACTGCCCTCTAACCACTGCGCCACTAAGCTTTCTTCTACCCAACAGATTCCTAAATTACTGTCGCCACTGTTACCAACACAGACTTGGGAAGGAAGACCTTGGGTGATCCTAGTTTAGGGCAAGAAGTTCTAAAGTTCTAATCAAGAATCTCAGATTCTGGAGAGCTAATGTGAGACAGTTGCCAAACAACCTTTCTCAACCACAAAACACACTTCCTAATTTTTCTTCCTCCTTTATTTCAACTAACACTTAACCAAAGGATTAAAAAAGAAAGAAAAATGGGAGGGAACATGGGAATTTTACAACGATATCATCTGAATCCTCCATAAAAACGTCAAGCATGAAGGGTGGCCCATAAGGAGGGCCTTTGCAGCAAGCGGCCAAGATGCAGAGCAGAGATCTTGTAGGTCTTTGTGGCCTACAAAGAGATCTTACCAGCCAAGATTAAAACAGGGCTGAGGAAGCTAAATCTGAGGAACTTCTTCATGTGCACCACCATGGGATCGTCGGGATGGTTGAGGGAATCAATGTTGACACTGAATGAGGTGCTGGTTACCACATCCAAACTGTAGGCTGAAAAGATCCTGGAGGGATGAAGGAGAGGTAGCATAGTGTGAAGGTTCAACCATTAGAAGCCACCCCACGGTGCATTCAACGGATGATCTCAGGGAATCCTTAACAGATGCACGAGGGATTCCACGTATTATGGAAAATGTGAATCCATTTGGATCACAATTTTGGATGACCGATTCCCCTTAATCTCACCGATATTACTTACAGCTTCATATCTATGGTTTCATCATTCTCCACTTTCTTCTGAATGTTCTTCTCCAAGATTTCATTGTAATGGTTGATGATGGGCATCATCTGAAAGGAAGACCAAAGGACAAGAGGCTTGAAGACACTTTGAAGAATGAACGCAACAAGTCAGCTCAGATAGCATTTTTTATTTTATTTTTTATTTTGAACACTTAAACACATTGACAAAAACATATACAACATTTAGACATCACATCGGAACGTCACATTCCTCCTTATAGCAGATATCTATCAGTCCATCTTTAAGTACACTATTTCCCTCTCAATACATTTCTATTCAATTTTACACTTTTAATCCCCTTATTTCATTCTCTTTTACTTATCAATCTATCTTTGGCTATTTACACCAGACAGTCTTTGTTATTCTTCTACTAGTATACCATTTTCCCTAGATTTATAAATCCTATCCTTCTTAGACTTTTGCCACTAATTTCTACTGCATCTATAATGCAAACTACTTTTTTTTCAGGTGCTGATTTCTTATTTCTATCCTCCAACCACCTGTACTATTTTTCCCAAATTAGATAATACTCCGATTCTTCCTTTCCTTGGAAAGGAAGTTTATCCATCTCAGCACATTCTAGGATCTTCCGCATTATTTCACTTTCTCTCGGTATCGTATTGTTCTTCCATCCGATAGCCATTTCCAAACCATAAGCGCTAGGCAACTTCAACCTGAGTTACTTGCTTCTGTGTGAAACTTCTGAAAACTTATTTAAAATGTAGCTCTTATTATAATCTTAAATTTCACAGCTTGCGGACTTGATAGCTGTTTCTTCGTTGGTTTCAAGCACTGAGCACGCCGTGATATTAAACTAGATCCCATTCATTGAGGCTCATGGATCATAACAACAGACAAAGGTTATCCAGTTATAAAATTCTGCAAAGATTTATGAAGACGAGCAGAATTCAGCTCATTTTCATAGAGAGAACTTGCAAAGCTCCATCATTCCAAAGCTGGAATGGGAATGGCTGGGTTTTCTCCAGGCAACGCAAAAATCCAACGTAATTCCAAAAGGCATCCAAAGGTCACCTCTTACCTCCTTCAGCCTCCCACTGGTGAAGGTGGGAGACAAGGCACTGCGAATCCTCTTCCACTGCTCATCGACAACGACGGTCATGGCGGTGTCCAGATTTCCATTCAGCCCAAAGTCCTGAATAAGGTGAAATAGCAAGAAAATAAAAATAAAAACATAAATGCCTCGTGTTGTTCTTCTCAGTCCTTTCTTTTCAATTTGCTGTCTTCTTAACCATTCTATCTATGCCTCTATCTATCATTATCTATTATATCTATCTATCATTCTCAATCTATATCTTTCTATCTATCTTATCTATCTATCTTTCTATCTATCTACCATTATCAATCTCAATCTCAGCCTCTCTCTCTCTCTCTCTCTTTCTATCTATCTCTCTATCTCTCATCTATCTATCTATCTATCTATCTATCTATCTATCTATCTATCTATCTATCTATCTATCTATCTATCTATCTACAATTATCAATATCTCTGTCA